TGCTTTTCTTTCTACTCGTTTCTTTTTTCCCCTTTTTTTCTTTTTGTGTGTGTGTGTGTGGGTGGGTGGGTGGGTGAGGCAGATTTCGCTGCTTGAAGCGGGCACTGGAGGAGAGTGAAATTCATCAAAAGGAGGAAAAAAAGAAAAGAAAAAAGGTAAAATAGATTAGAAGACAAAAACACGGTTGCTTATTGCCATGCGACTCAGTTACAAGAGCGAAATTGGCGCCATCTGCACAGCGTGTGTTGCGGCTGTGTGTTTCGTCGCGCTTCCGCGTTCTTACCTCACCGTGGCGGTGCCGGTGTGGCTTGTTGCTCAGCGGCTCGTGGCGCGTGGGTTTTGGAATTACGTGCAGCCACCACAGAAGGGCATTGAACGCAAAATTTCCAAGGAATGGAGCGAGGGCGTGCTGCCGCGGGGGTGGCGTCCGGGATTTGTGATGTCGCATGACATGAAGGAGGAGGAGCGACCCGTGGCGGTCGTCACGGGGACAAACAGCGGCATTGGGTACTACACGGCCGTGGGCCTCGCGGTGGAGGGGTACCGTGTGGTGTGCACCTGCCGAAACCCGGCCCTCAGTGAGTCTACTGCGGTGAAGATTCGCGAAGAGGCGGAGGGTGCTCGACGCAGGCGCAGCAGGGACCCGAGGTACGCTGAGGTACCAGAAACAGTTCTCGTGGACGGTCGCTTTTCCCTCGAATGCGATGACTTTGCTAGCGTTCGACGGTTTACAAATCAGTTTCAGGCGGCATACCAGCGTCTCGACGTACTTGTGAATAACGCTGGTATGATGCGGAAGCGACTGGAGTTTAGTCGGCATAATTCCAAGCTTGAGCTCCATACTGCGGTCAACTTTCTAGGTCCGTTGCTGCTAACAGAACTTCTTGTGCCTTTCATTCAGCAGAGTCAGGGACGTGTGGTGTATGTTTCATCTGAAGCCCACCGTTTTCCGCAAATGTCGCTGGAACCGGGTCTCTGGAAGAGGTCGCCGATCCCATGCCTTAATGGGCGTCTATTATCTGTTCTTCAGCAGCTCAACCAGGGCGAGTCCGGTTCAACGGGTCCGCTAACGCAAAGGACACTGGGTGGGGCGTTTGTTCGCTATGGCACAAGTAAACTGCTCAATATTTATCACGCGCACTACATTGCACGGCATCACAGGCTGCCTGTTTGCTCCCTGCATCCTGGCTGTGTCGGGACAAATTTCTCAAAGGATCTTGTGTCTGGGGAGTGGATCAAACGTATCTATCAGTATGTCTGTCTCCTCTTCCTAAAGACATGGGAGGAGGGGGCACAGACGACGTTGCACTGTACGATGTGTGACGTTGATGAATTGAGGCTTGTCAAGCCGTTGAGGGGATCACCACAAACTGAGCCCGTTAGCCCGTACTTTGTGGAGTGCCGCAACCAGACACTGGAGGCATTGCTGTCATATGGCTGGGATGTTGAGGAAGCAGACCGCATTGTGGAGTGGGGGAAACAGTTGGTTGGGTTGACACAGAAAAGTGGTTAAAACAAAACCAAAAATGCTTTTTACCAGGAGAGCAGAGAACAATTCCTTCCCCGCTGTTGTGGTGGGTGCGTGTGCCTCATTGTGCCATGACTGTGGATGTGATTCGATACATATTTTTTTATTTTTATTTTTTTGACGGGTTGCAACGAGGCGAGTTGGAGGCGCTGCATGGGGGGCTCTTATCAGCTTTTTTTTTTCTTTTTGGCTTGTTTTGGTGTTCTGCGTCCGCCATGGTTGCCCTGTGGGCTCATGCCACTTTTTCTACTGGATGCGTCTCTTCTTTTTTTTTTTTTTTGTAAGCATTTGTGTGTATTCTTTTTTTTTGTCGCCTGCAGAGAACCGGATTGGTGTAGGTGGAGGGGGTGGGGGAACCGCTTCTGTTCTTCTTCGCCCCTCTTTTTTTTTTTGTGCCTGCTCGCCCTTTTGCCCCTTCACGCATCCCGCTGAAATGGTCGTGCCTAGGGCAGTGTGCGCCGACACCTGCGCCGCATACCGTCGTCTCCTGGGCGCAGTGAAGCAGGTGACACGCGACTGCCCGCTGTACAGAAAGGAGGGGCTCACGCGATACGTGGCTCTTCGTTTTTTTGACTCAGCCGAACAAAACCGCCGTCGTTACCTGCAACTTCGCGAGGAGATGGTCTCGCAACGAGGCAGGGGCCGGCACAGGAAGCTGCATGCGATGGAGGCTCAATACGAGTCCTTCATTGCGAGAGAATTGCAGAGGGTGCGGGAGGTGGCGGAACAGATCCTCCTCGCACCGGGCAATCGGACTCTTACTTCCATGTTGCAGGTTCTCGCGGCGGGCGTTGGCAACTCATACTATCAGCATACTGTGGAGCAGAACTATTTTCATTACTGCGAGTTTGAGAACAAGAGAATGGAACGGAATGAGGTGGAGGAGGAGGCGACGGCGGAGCGCCAAAATCGCATCATGCAGCACGCCCTTATTCCTTACGGTGAACGTCTTCTCTTCCTTCATCGTCTGAACGTCAAACATGACCCGGACAGTGCACAGGAGCATGGCAGTCTGACGTCGTGGCAGGTAACAGAGGCTATTATTGGGACCCGAAGTGGTGTTTCTGCACATCACATGTCACATGGAAAGGAGGATGTAGTTGTGGAGGTTGACGAAACGTACAATAAACAAATTGTCTACGTGCGGTGTGAGCTGTACGACTGGGGTCGGGAGGTGGAACGGGTAGAAATTACGGAGTCGGAGGAGGTACGCGGCACCGTCTTTCACGCAGAGTACTTCAGTGTGGCGCAACGTCTCTGCGATGCCCTTCTGGCAGAAACCCCGTTGCACGCCTACCGTTCCACAGTCGTTGTTGGCCATGGCGTTGGAGGGGCTGTGGGGTTTTGTTTGGCGCTTTTGCTGCACGCTCGTGGGTTTGATGTAAAGAATTGTGTGACACTTGGCGCGCCAAAGGCGGTTCAGAAGACCCTTGAGCGTTACATTCATGCCATCAACCCTATTCGTATCGTGCTGGAGGGTGACCCGTTGATTGACCTGCCGGTGACTGGGGCCGAGGGTGATGCGTTCGTGCACTATGGTGAGATTTTGCTGATGGCCTCCGCTGCGACGCCGCAGCAGGAGGGCGATGAGGAGGGAGGACGGCAAGAGATAAATTTGACGGCTGCGAGTGGGACTCTCACTGCGGAGGCACTCAGTGACCTTTTAGACTCCGCGCAGCATGTGCCGCTGGCGTGTGAGATAAGTGAGACTGAGAGGGATAACGAAGAACTACAGGTCGAAGGGGGACTGGAAGAAGATGAAGAAGGCGCATCGGAGTTTGGTCGGATAGCGGCGGAACGGTATGCGGCGGGCTTCTTGCCAGAGGACTATATCGGACGACTTGTCGACATTACAGTGCCGTTAACGTATGCCGAAGGTGACGAAGTGTGGGACGAGGGTGGCAACGCGAAAATGTGGCGCGAATCAGCGCTACAGCCTCACATATCCGGTTCACATGGATGACCATGCGGGCATACAGAACCCATCGTGTGACACTTCTGCAGGTAGTACAGCGTAACGCATCATTTGGCCTTTGTTACTCTCTTTCCCCATGTTTTTTTTTAATTTTTCTCCCTCTCCCCTGTGATTGGTGTTAAGTAGGTGTGCATCTGCCACTGTATTGGGGACTCCATTTCTTTTTTTTTCCTGCCTCGTCTTTCTTCTTGGCTGCTCTTATACGCTGACAGATGTGTGTCTAACAAGGGGGAGAGAAATAGTTTTTGTGGGTGCGTGTGGTTATAGTCTGACCTTTTTTTTGCTTGGTTTTCCGCATTTAGGGCTGTTGGTTGGAATTTGCAGCGGCAGATGATTCATCTTTTTTCCTCAGAGGCTCTTGCGGCGCTGGCGTGTCTGCTGTTTCTCGCCATTGCCGCTGTCGCTCAATTCTTTCGATGGCCGTTTTGGAGCTCCATGACAACGGCGGACACGCTGCTTGCAATTGTGAGCTGCGCCTTCGCCTGCCGCGGGGTGGCGTCTGGGCGATCGTGCAGGTGGCCGAGTGATATGGACTTCACGTCTTGCGTGGCCCTCGTCACAGGGGCGTCGTCTGGCGTTGGCTACGGCGTTGCGCAAGAGCTCTCGCAGCACGGGTGGACAGTCATTATGACGGGGAGGAACTTGATGCAGCTGCTGAAGGCGAAGCGGTCTCTCATGGTGCAAAAACCCTCTGGGCGTCTCGTTGTGCTCGGGGAAGTGGATCTGTCCGACCTTGACAGCGTGCGAAGCTTCGCCGCCTCCGTTCTGGAGCAGAAAGAAAAATTCCCCGTGTCGTTGCTGGTGAATGCTGCGGGTGTTTTGCGCCGCCACTTGCACCGTTGCGAAGACACAGGGATGGAGGAGATGATTGCCACCAATGTTGTGGGCCCCATGCTGCTCACAAATTTGCTGCTGCCACTGCTGGAAGAGGCGGCGGAGCGCAGTGGGGTCTCCTCGCGCATCGTCAATGTGGCCTCCTCATGTCACACGTTTCTTGGGGTGCGGCAGCGCGGCGGGCCGGCCGAGATGCTTGCGGCGCTGCACCCACAACCAAGTGAAGGCGCCACCGTCGCGGCGAAGGCGGGGGCAACCGCCATGAAGGACTTCACTCTGGGCAACTTTGTCGGGTACTATGGACTCTCGAAGTTGTGCGTCATTTGGTGGACCTCCGTCCTCGCACGCCGCGTCTCTCGTTCTTTCTTCCGCCACGGCGATGGCAATCAACTCAAAGTGTTCGTCGCATGCTGCCACCCGGGCATCATTACGACACACCTGTACCGTGACCTGTTTCCACAGCGGGTGCTTGACTACATTATTTACTACCCCTCCTTGCTCATTGGGAAGACGTGGAGGGAGGGAGCGCAGGCGGTCTTGCGGGCAAGCATAGAGACGGATAACATGGTGCATGGCGGCTACTACATGTGCACTGGCGAGTATGGCCCCAACAGTGGCATTAACTGCCTCTCAAAAGACGCTATGAACATGGATGAGGCAATTAAATTTTGTGCTTGGGCAGAGATGCAGATAGAGGCACAAAAAAATAGACCGAGGCAGCCAGGAGCAGGGAAGAAAGGTGCGACACCGAAGAGAATCATGGGGGTGAAGTTTGTGACGTGAGCAGGTGCGGTTGTGAGAAGAAAGCGTGCAAACCTCAACAAGACGGAAAGGAGCTTCCGAACCCATGACAGGTGCTGATAATTTTTCTTCTTCTGTTCCTTCTCTTACTGTTTTTGGTTTGAGGGGGCGTGGGAGAGGGAGGGTGCGGCCCAACATGAGGCTGGCAAAAACATCTCAAATGGGTATAGTCTTTCAGATTTGGAATTACGTGTCTCTCATTGCAACTCATGTGCCTTGAAAACCCGCCCCGCCCAATCCCTCAGCTGCCCTGCGCGCAGGCAGGGTTCCGGGTGTCTTTTTTTTTTTTTGTGTTTGGAAGCTCCACTTTTCATGACCGACTCTCTTTGGAGTGGGTCGTCAACAGTCCTCTTGGGCTTTTCCCTGCTGTTGGATGGACGTGGACGGAGAGGAGACTTTTTCGGCCACAAAGGCAACGCAGGGGAGCATACATTCTTTTTTTTTCCCCCCTTTTCACTTCCTTCTGGTGTGGCGGTAAACCATAAGACGTGGATCGTTCCTCCTATGTGTTCCGCTGTTGCTGGCGTATTGCGGTGTTTGTGTGTGTGTTTTGTCTCTTTGACTTTCAGTGCCGTCTTGATTGACGCGCGTTTGTTTGCGTCATCAGAGGATTGGGTGTGGAACCACACCATGTTGCTTTTTTTCCCGCTTCCCTTGCTTGCTCCGCTGCAGAGTGAAAGGAGGCATGCCGTCGCCCGAAATAAAACACCGACGGACGGAAGAACAAGTGCCGTTTGTTCTCCCACAGTTTCATCTGCCTCCTCAGCCACCGGTCAACGGGTTTCCGCACGAGACGGACCTTCTCATCCGGGGCGTGCGTGGCAGGGCCGGTGTAGACGGCAAGGCATTGCTGCTTAATGCCTCGCCCACGTTGGAGCTTTCAACGGATGAGTCGGCGGCGCTTCTTACAGCTCTGCGGCAACACCCCAAATGTGAGTCTATCCGAGCGCAGCTCAACGGTATCAACGAGTCGTACCTTGTGGAGGTGTTTGGCGAGGTTGACGCGCAGGAGGATGACACGCGGCGCCGGGTGGACTACAACGCCGCCTGCGCTGTGCTTAAATCCAACTCCTCTAAGCGGCTCTCAGCGTGTGTTTCATGCCTCACGCGAGGCCAGCACCGTCATTATCGCTCGTGGATACTGAATTACATGCAGACGGGTCTTCCACCGAAGGCCACCGAGGAGTATCCGGACATGAGCACCGTAGTAGACCTTGTTCAACGTGAGCAGACGGCGTACCTGCACAAATTTATGGAGGAAATAGTTTCATGTGAGGCCTGCAAGATGGAGGCTGGCTACAACAAACGATCTAGTGAGGCAGCGGAAATGCCGATGCCGCATCGGTCCTGTTGGAACCATAATTACATGGACGAACACGTGGAACGATTTGCGAAGCGCTGGTGGCGTTATCGAATTGAGTCGAGGCTGCTGCGATGCCTCGCTGACGAGGAGACGAGTAAAGACAACAACAGTGACGACCGCGGCGCCGGCAACCACGGTGATGATGCATTTAGGGAGAATGTATTTTACCTCAAGAAGGGTTTAGCAGGAGCCGATACGCGAACAAAAGTGTGGGCGAGGCCGCGTGCTGAACTGACCTCCCAAACACGCCAGTTCGCCGCTCAATGCATCGCTTCAACGAATAGGCCGAATGCGACATGTGAGGAAGCGCGGCATTATCCGGCTGTTTCCATTCCACCGACGCTGCCACTGGCAGTGCAGCAGCTTGACACGCGCGAGCCACAGCTGTATTCTCGCGCCTTCCCGGAACAACCGCGTGGCGAGATAGAGAAAGGGGCAGCCGGAGCAGAAGAGGAAGAGATGCCGTTACTGATTCCTCCCGTCAACACAATGACGGGCGTTTCTTTCACCCTGCGTGTATGCAAGTCGGCGTTGGTGGAGCTGGCCGCGGCGCACCTGTCGTCATGCCGTGCTGAGTTTCGGCTTCCGGTACGATGCGTGTGGCAGCCGTCGGAGCGGCGAGTTGATATTTCCATTGAAAAACCGCTGCCAGGGCATCGGGAGTCGCGGCGCAACATAAACGCGGCGGCGCTCAAGCGTTTGGTGGACAATGAGGTGCGTCTTCCATCGAACAGCCGCTGCAGTGCGCGGGGGCGGCACAAGAGCAAGTGTTGGGCGGAGGTCTCGTTTGGTGCCGATTTTGCCTTTTATTGTGTGTCAAACTGTGTTTTTGACTTGACCCATCAATACCCCGTTTTCCGCCTGATAAAAATGGAGTACAACTGCAAGGGCTACAACACAGTCCCTGACGACGAACAGACGTTTCACCATGAAAGTTTTAGCAAAAGGGAGGTGGTCCGCATGTGGATACTCCTGCACTGCAACCCCACCGCAGTCCTCTACGTCTACCGCATCAACGCCTACTCCAATGCGGTGATGGGCATTGAAAAGTTTTCGTCTGTGTCGTTCATGAGTCAGGTGATGGGGTCGTGGTCGAGTGACGTGGATGTGCAGCGCACATGGAGCTCCCTCTACGAGCTCCTGCAGAGCACTGTTTCCGCCGTTGTCCAGCGACTGCAACTCTCGGGTGGCGCTGACGGCGCGAAAAACGTCACGTTTATTCTTGCCAAGGAGAAGGAGGACGGCAATGTGTCGCTCTGCTCCGTGAAGGCTTGTTATCCGCAGCAAACAGTTCTTGATGAGGCGGTGGGGACCTTTATTGAGCCGAGCAGCCGCACGGTATGCCGGCGTGAATACCTTCCGCCGTGCGTGTGGCCCTTCCCAGATCGTATTCCCTACACATACGGCCCGGCTCCAAAGTCGTGCTACGTCATCAATAGGACGACGGAGACACGGCACGACTCCGCCTACTACGCCAAGCACGACGTCTGGCAGCATGAGTCACGGTACTACACAGTGGGCGAGGATGGGGTTATCCGGGAGCTGCAGCCGGCGTGTGCGTAATCCACAGAAAGTGAATAACAATTGAACACTGAGGGAAAAGAAGAGAATGAAGCAAACAACCAATCAACCAAAGGCAAAAAAGAAAGAAAATAAAAGATTGGGGTGAGGAGGCAGGTATGAATGCAACATAACAAGCAAAAAAGGAAGGCGGCGACAAGGTGAACTACACACGCGTCACGTCGGCAACGCGTTGGGTTGACGCTCAAGGAGGAAAAAGTAACAGTGCCGTTTTGAGGTGAAAGGAGATCACAGTAAACCAAAGTGGGCCCTTCCCCTCCTCCCCTCCCCTTCCCTCCCCCCTCATGGGAAATCCAGGGTGATGCATGCGGTGATGCCTGAACTTACCCTCGTGCTCCTGGTAATATATTAAAGTGTATTCTTTTGATTTTTCCTTTATTACATTGCCGCAAATTCTTCTTCTTGCTCCATTTCCCTACATTTTTTAATGAACCCACAGCCCTGTTGTGGGCTGCAGGGGGGAAGGAGGATATAGCGCATGTACTCTGAACGGGGGGTGCCCTCCGTTGCGCCCCCACCTTTGCTTTCTTTTGAAGAAGAACGGTTGTTTCCGTGCGAGTTGGCATACAATACAGATAGTGAGAATATCTATGCTAGGAAGAAACGTCTACCTGGCACCACGGTTCTTTAACGGCACTTTGATGAAGGTGGTATCCTGCATGAAGCAGATACAATTTGGTTGATTGAAACTGCCGCCGCATTGTTTGCGCGGGAGCCTAATATTTTACGTATTGAGGATCCCATCACTGTATGCGGCGACATTTACGGGCAATGCTATGATCTAATTACCTTTTCGCAGCTTGGTGGTGACCCGAGTGACACGCAATATTTGTTTTCCGGGGACTACATTGACCGAGATCTCTTCTCCAATGAGGTGACGCCTCTCCTCTTTGCTCTCAAAATTCAATACCCAAAGATATTCTGGATGCTGCGGGGGAGCCACGAGTGCCGGCATCTTGCCTGCAACTTCACACTTCGTGACGAGTGCGGACGCAAGTACGGTGAGACGGTGTATGAGACGTTTCAGCAGCCCTTTGATCAACTGCCCTTGACTGCCCTCGTCGCGGAATCGTTTCTCTGTGTTCATGGCGGAAGTTTGCCGCACATTACGACTCTCAGTGACATTGGCAACGTTGCGCGGGCGCGGGAGCCACTGCTGTTAGGTTCCATGTGCGGCCTTCTTGTAGGTGAACCCCATGGAGGACGCGATGGAGCAGATGTATCCCGAGGTCTTGTCCCTGCACAATGAACTACGCGGTGGTTCGTTTGTGTACTCCAGCGGCGTGGTGGGGGAGTTCCTCACCTTGAACGGCCTTCTCAGTGTGATTCGCGCGCACAAGACACAAAACGAGGGCTTTTGCGGCTTGAGGAAGGTGGAGGCCCCGGGGCTTCCATCCGTTAGTTGGGTACTCCCCGCCCCAAATTGTTGTGACGTCTACGATAGCAGGGCACCGTCCTGAAGGTTGAGCGCAAGATGCTGTGCGCGATGCAGTTCGGCACCGTCCCTCACCTTTTTTCTGCTTCCCCAACTTTACGAGTGCCTTTACCTGGTCGCTGCCCTTACTTTGCGAGAAGCTGGAGGACGCCATACTCCTCCTCACCCCAACGGAGGAGGGGGCATAAATGAGTTAACTCTCAGTCGGCTTTGTGCTTCGAATTTGCTTGCGTACCCGCCTGCTGGTGGGAGCAGGACAAGGGGGGCCGCTAGCGAAAAGTAAGAGGGTAGGGGGAAAAGCAATGTCTCTTTTGCTCTTCCCTCTCATGCTTGTGACGACTTCTAGACTGTGGGCAGGCGGCAGTGGAAAGAAATAAATTCCCGGTGAAGATGCTAGCACACTCTCATTGGCTTGCTCATCCCTTCCCTCTCTTTTTTTTTTTTTCTTTTTTCTTGATTGCGCCCACGCACCTCCACTATCGGGGCCCCACACTTTGCTGAAGGGAAAGGAATCACGACATGCCTCCTAAGTTTGACCCCAACCAGGAGCTCACGGTTGTTGTGAGGGCCGTCGGTGGTGAGGTGCCTGCGACGGCGTCGCTGGCTCCCAAGGTCGGCCCACTCGGCCTGAACGCCAAGAAGATCGGCGAAGACATTGCCAAGTCCACTAAGGACTGGAAGGGCCTTAAGGTCACATGTGAGCTGCGTGTGAAGAATCGTGTGGCCACTGTGCGTGTTACGCCGTCCGTTGCTTCTCGTTTGATCCGCGCCTTGAAGGAGCCGCCGCGTGATCGCAAGAAGGTGAAGAACATCAAGCACAACGGCAACATCCCCTTCTCGGAGATCCTGAAGATTGCAAAGGAGGCGGCACCCAATTCCATGGGCGCCACCATGAAGGCTGTCGTGATGGAGGTGCTCGGCACGGCGGTGTCGGTCGGCTGCACCATCGACGGTGAGAGTCCGCAGGCGATTCAGGGCAAGGTCCGTGATGGCAAGCTGAAGGTTCCAAACTAGGTTCCCCCGCTCTGTGGGGTATGCAAACATGCCTACAGACATGCGCTTGGACGTTCATTGGGGAAAAGAAGGTCACATGTTGCTTCCTCTTCTTTGCCGCTTTGTTTATTTATTTATTTTTCTTTCCTTTGGTTTTCTCCCAGTTCCTGCGTGGAACAAAATTCTGCGTGTGCGCGACTTTGCCGGTCCCGGTGTTGCTGCTGCTTTTTTTTTTTGCGTTCTCTCCTGCACCTTTCTGTTTTGTTGTTGCTTCTCCCACTTTCTACATTCTCTTGACACGTTATGCCCACCCCGCGCGCATCTGGCAGTTCATTTGTTTTACTTTTGCGTGACAAGTTAGGAGGGGCGAAGGAATTTAGGGGCGGTGCAGGCGGCGGGAACGAAGGAATAGAAAGGAAAATCCCACCACCACAAAGCAGTAAGGGGGAAAAAAGGGAAGGAAAAGCGGTTTCCTGTCCGTCTGTCTGTGTGGGTGAGAGAGGGAGAGAGAGAGAGAGAGAGAGA